TATCTTTAAGCTAATAAAATAAGTTAGCGTAACAGTATTATTTTTTTTTCTATTTAACTGTCACAGCTATAACCGCTTTGATAAAAAAATACTTTGACTAAAAAATTAATAGTTTTTTTTTTATTCATAGATTATGTGGCTTATAATCTGTGTGCGCAGATCGAAGGTCTGTCGAGGTTGAGAAAAAAAAACTCTAAACGGAGCTAACTATACCGTCCTTCAGTTATGCTTACACTTATGTTGACACTTATAATTATGAATATTTGAACATATTTATCATAGAAACTTCCAATTAGTATACGTTACAGAATGCAAGACATTCTCAACATTTTGCACGAACCAAAACTTAATTATGACAAGGTTTAAGATTTTTACACTGAAAAGATTTTATGTCTTTGTCTATTAATTGTGTTGGAAAATAAATATGTGTGTAGAACTGAACAAGATAATAACCAAGTATTGTCACTGATTTAATGCATTCATGGTATATATTTATTGAAATAAGATATTGAAATTTGCTCCATTTTGAGTAATAGAGCAAAGTCGTAAACCGGCCTCCATTGAATTTCTTCACCGTGACATGCTAAAGACAATTATTTGATGGAAAAAACAACACAATGATACGTAGAAAATACACAGCATCACCAATAGTAAACTATGTATATATATTTAGCAATAAATGTTTGTAATAGCCATTACTCGTGCTCTGTTTTGAAAGCAGCAGTAAAGCCGGGTCATAACTTCGGGTCTAGCTTTGAAGGCAGCAGTAAAACAAGTTTATTACATTAACGGTACCAAGTTTACTGCACCAGATGCGTATTTTGATAATGAATGTCTCTTTAGTGGTGCTCGAAGCCAAAAATACAAAACCTAATACAAACGTTGCAGAGCTGATTATAAAATCAAAAAGGACCTAAAGTATAGCCAAATCCGGAAAAGGAATCTGCCGCAGAGCTTGCACGAGGGAGAAATATTCAGAGCTTGCACGAGGGAAACATATTTCTTTCTCTATTTATAATGCTTTACAAAATTCTATTACAGCAAGTTCAAATCAGACAATATCCGCATTTTAATGCCAATACCTAAGTTTACTGGCTACTGAGCTCGACCCCCAGCATGGTGATACCCTCGGGAACTAACAGTCCACCAGTTGAACACACTTCTCGGATCTCGGCTCTTGTTGTTACCGCCTATCGTCGTTATTGCAGATAGGGACAGTTTTTCTTAGTAGAGGCGGACATGCTCTGAAAAACTCGGGGAAACATCTTTTAAACAGAATAGTTGCTTGGAAACATGCATAGGTTTTTCTCGTACTTTCTGACTATTTCCCCCTACCGTATCCAAAAAATCTACACCCCTCCCACTCTATTCAATATGGCTGCAATAATCGAGACATTGTATAGTGGTTTCTGATGGTGGTGGTATTCCATTTTTTTTTTAGTTGCACAAGTCAGGCATTGTCTGAAAGTTACTTTTTAATCAGAATTTAGCGTGATTTAAATAATGTCCTTTAATGACCATTCTTGTCTAGTTTAAGCGAAAGGCCTCTCAAATCCCTTATGCATTGTTCAGATTTCTTGTCTTGAGTTGGCTTTACTTTCGGTCATTTTAAGGGAATTTTATAATCTCTTAAATGTGTGAATTTATTAATTAACACTTGGACTTTCAAATAGTTTGACCTCGCGCATCACTAAAGAGTGGTTGATTGTTGAAATGTGCACCTGGTGCTGTAACACTGGTATGCAAGAGGGTATGACTAGAGTTAACAGAACAGAGAATAATGGTATAAAAAACAATGAATAGAGAAAAATGAGACAAAATAATAAAGAATGGAGAAAAAAAAGATGCACAACTTGAAGGAATAACTATGGGAAATTAAAAAAAAACGTACTACAAGACTCATTACAAAAATGAACTATGTATTACTATGTATAATTATAGATTATCGTTGATCATCTCAACGAGATTGATTTTCTCGCTTGAGCCGGAACGGCGAAAGTGAGAAACTTGAAGCAATCGAGTTGAGATGACCAATGATGATTTGTTTATCGCAATTTTACCTATGACGACGTTGTTAATTTCATTGACAACGGACACGTGATACCTTCAGTTTCTCAAATTTCTCTTAATTTTTCATATCACTCTGCTGTGCTGAGAAAGGAAATTATCAGTCAGTAAGATAAAAGGAAAGTTTCGTAAAATAGCGATAAACTACCATATAGAAAAAATTAATAGTAAAATCATTTTCATGAGCATTTTTATGACCCAAATGTTGTAAAACACTTGTCCTACCTCCATGACAAATATATTGTTGTCCCCGCAGATAAAGCCCCAAACAATATCGTTTTTTTGTGTAAATCTCATTACATAAACTGCTTGATAAATGAATTGGGTATTGACAATTCACTTGGAAACTCAACATATACCCCCACGACACTTACCAAAGAGGAAATTCTGGTTAATCATAGGTCTGTTCTATGTTCCTTTGGAATTTCAACCAAAGATGAAGAACTGGATCTTCCATCACTGTGTTGGATACCTAAACTACATAAGTGTCCTTACAAACAACGGTATATTGCTGGGTATTCCAAGTGCTCCACGAAACCTCTTTCTAAATTATTAACATCTATTTTATCAGCAAAGCCGGGCTTCAAAGTTATTGTGAAACTGTCTATTCTAGAGGTGGCGTGAATCAGATGTGGATACTTAAAAATTCCAAAGATCTTTTAGAGTATATACAGTCAATCTAAGACACTTTCATCTTGCAATAGTATTTTCTACACTTTACACAAGTATTTCCCATTCCAACCTAAAAGACAAATTGAAAGAGTTAGTATTGCATTGTTTCATAAAAAAGAATGGACAACGTAGGTACAAGTATCTTGTCTTAGAGAGGGATAAATCTTACTTTGTAAAGAATCACTTTGATTCAAACAAAAAATTCTATGAAACTGACATTATCAAGTTGCTTGATTTCTTAATTGATTGACAACATATTTGTTACGTTTGGATGACGTGTTTTTCAACAAACTATCGGCATTCCCATGGGAACCAATTGTGTCCCTCTTCTTGCCGACTTGTTCCTTTATTCTAATGAGGCTGACTTCGTACAGGAACTTCTTAGGAAGAAAGAAAAAAAGTTAGCAATATCCTTTAACTTTACTTTCCGCTATAAAGATGATGTTCTCTCCCTAAATAATTCAAAATTTGGTGACTATGTTGAAGTAGGAACATATATATTGACATTACTGTTCCCAGGTTGAACGCAATTAACTAGAGATAAAGGATACAACAAATACAGTTAAGTCTGCCTCATATCTTGACTTACATCTAGAAATTGACAATAAGGGTCGGTTGAAAACAAAACTTTACGACAAAAGAGATGATTTCAGCTTCCCAATTGTGAAACTTATATTTCTATGTAGCAACATTACAGCAGCGCCTGCATACGGAGTATATATCTCCCAATTGATACGATATTCCCGGGCTTGTATTTCCTATCATGATTTCCTTGATAGAGGGTTGCTGCTCACAAGGAAGCTATTAATTTAAACCAAGAGTTCCAAATGGTGAAGTTGAAATCATCTCTTCGTAAATTTTACGGACGCAATCACGAGTTGGTTGACCGTTATGAAATATCCGTTTCACAGATGATATCGGATATTTTCCTTATGTCGTAACTACAATCCTGTTCCCTTTTCACTGAATGTGAACTACCAAATTAAACTATTAACCGGGTTTGTAATAACATGAGCAACACGACGGGTGCCACATGTGGATCAGGATCTGCTTACCCGTCCGGAGCACCTGAGATCACCCCCCCCCCCCCCCCCCCCCCCCCCCGTTTTTGCTTAGTCTTTAGTTTTCTATGTTGTGTCTTGTGTACTATTATTTGTCTGTTTGTCTTTCTTTTTTAGCCATGGCGTTGTCAGTTTATTTTTCATCTATAGATCCCGTACCAGTGGTTAATTTTTATGCAAATAATTCCATAGTAACGTAACTGTTCAAAATTAACGTACAAAAGCCATTTCCCAGTTTAGTAGCTTATCAATTTTCTAAATTGTTATAAATACACATCAAATAATTTTTTTTTGTTACAACTATGGACTAACACTTCAAAAGCAACATAGTTACTCTTTCAATTGACCTTTAGATAAATGAAGAGTCTAATAAAAGTTAGTAACGTATATGGTCAAAGAAATTGTGACATATATTCTCAAAACAGTTACTGTGTTGGTTTTTTTTATGACAAACTAATAAAATGATATAAATATGTACTGGCAGAATGGTGATAGATCGGAAAAGGCAACATAAGTACATGTTTTGCAAGCGTCTTAAGTCGAATACCCAACCGAAAAAATATCTATACCATCAGGGACATTCGTTTTACTCATAATATTACGTTTTTGTGTGAGGCTGGAGTAGTTTTGATATTCTTCTACTTGACAATTATGTTAGTTTTAGCTAGAAATCTCCTTGGATTTTCAAAAGCATATATTTTGATTGACATTTTAAAGCAGACAAGTAAAGGCTTAGAATATCTACAGGGACAACAAATCAAGTATTGGACCCGATTTCCTGAGAATGAGTAATGAGTCCTGCATGTTTGATTTGTCGCCGGTCCCTTGATTTGAAACACTGTATGGTTTCAGTTAGTTTAAACAATATTTCATGCAAATAAATCAATACATAGTATACAAATCGGATAATGAAATAAATCGGAATCAGAAACAAGCAAAAATGTTTTTATTAAATTATCTCCTAGTTTACAAATACATTTATTATATATGTAAGTGTGGCATGTTCTGAAAAAAACAGTTTGTAAAAAAAAATTACAATTCATTGAAGTTTCATAAAGAGAAGATACTGAATAAACTTGGTAAATAGTCTAAAGTGTTGTGTGTAGAATGAAATAATATTCATGCTTTGGTTTCAGTTTACCGGCTACAACCGATTGCCAATCAAGTTCGCCCTTAGGAAAGTGCGGGAAATAGTTCATTCGCAACCCCTTTTGACTGTACTTTCTCATGTACGTACTTATCGAAAGGGGGGATGGCAAATGATACAAAAACGTATTCTGTAGATGTTGACGTTCAGCTGGATTTAAGTATAAACAAATGGCTGACTAGCGGTGATTCCTTTGGACCAATATTACGCGAAAGATCGCACAGCAGCAGTATTTTTTCAGATTCCTCGATAAAATCAAGCCGAGTCACAGAGTCAGAGTGGGGTAAACGATTATATTTAGAAAACAAATTCCATATATACTATCAAGATAACTGGATTTTAAATCCATCTGACTTGTTAGAAAAAATTCACTCAATAGACGTTTTGAACGAAGAACAGACAGAATATACTCTTAAGGTGAAAAGTCATTTAGAGCAAATTTCACCTGATACTGCAAGTTTATGCCGATTACCATTTGAAAGAGAAATATTTGACGAAGCTATTAACCACATGCACAGTCTATTGGATCCGGAAAATGAAGCAGAAATGTGAGTATAACTAACATACGTCCTTGGTCAAGCTTAGTAACCTCACCATGCTCTCTTAAGGGATTTTGTGTCGGTAGTGAGCATCCACATCAGAAATTGCTCTGAACACAGAATCCAAAAAGGGATTATTATAGAGTACTTATTGATTGCATCATAGAAGACTGAATAAGCTTCAAGAAGCGACAATGAAAAACCAGACAAATTTATCATTTTAACAGGGCTCGACAATAACGCTTGTCTGATTGTCCGGTACCAGAGAAAAAAAAGGGCGAACAAGTAAAAGCCATACCAAGCTTGTCCGACGGGACAAGTTAAATTATTCTGTAGAAAATAAATAACATCCAACTTTGATGATCAAATTAATAAACAAAAAACAAGAAAAGAAGATAAAAACATGTTTACTTGCGATCGATAATTAAAAACTGGTTCTTTGTTAGATACTTTATAACAGATGAAAGGCATACTATATATTCTCCTAAACCAGTCTTAGAATCAGAATCAGCAGTGTGCTTTGTATATAAGGTAACAAGACAGTTCGGCACCGGCGAGGAAACCAATCGGGTCCATGTTTAAGGCCATGGAAAAATGAATGTTGGTTTCCCCTAACATATGAATATTATCAAGGACCGGCAGGCAGGAAAAACTTTTTATTTTATGTTATTATGTGAAAAAGCGGTTTTACAAAGCAGAGAATGTTTTTTTTTTTTATTTTTATTATTTTCAAGAATTACAACAAATACAACACATCAAACCTACATACAGACATACAGTAATATTAGCAATACATTTGAATATCTATTTATTTATGACAATAAACATTGTTGAAAATTCAGTTATATATTTATATGAAAAGAGAACATAAATACGGAAGAAAAGATAATTTGAGTTAAATGTTTATGTACCACTGTGTGGCACATGAGAAGGCTAAAGTATTTTATGAAAAAGGAAGAAGTTAAAATATCCTGTAAGATTTTCAGTACATAATAAGTTGTGCTATTAGATACAATAATATATTATGTTAGTTTTGACAATAATTATCTGTAAATGATAAATGACAAATTGAATTATAAAAATAATTCTTTAAATGCATTCCACATGGTATCAAAGTGCTCTTGTCTCTTATTTTTGACTGCCATTATTTTTTCTAAATTGTACATATATTTTAGCTTTTCTTTAATGGCACTGAGTGAAAGATCTTTTGAAAAACATCTACTGTTGTATATATATTGTTTCATGTATAGAAAAATCAAATTATATGGGTCACCTTCTCGAACTTTTGATATATCTCCAAAAATAAAATTTAACTTATTCAATGGCAGGCTTACCCCACCAGATAAAAACCAATAATCAATATCTTGTAAAAATTTTTGGATAATCTCACAATTCCACAGAATATGTTCAACAGTTTCATCTTCTAATTTACAAAAAGTACATAAAGGGTTATCAATAAGTTTGATTTTACATAAAAATTTATTTGTGGCAAGAATTCTGTGGTTGATTCTGTACTGAAGCCACTGTAGTTTAGTATTGACAGTGACTGTAACAGGTAGTTTGAATATATGTTTCCAAATGAGATCTTCGCCTAATATTTCACTCCACTTCAGTTGTCCTGTTGGGGTCACATTGTTACTAATGAGTATTTTGTTCATATCTTTAGAACCTTTTCTACTTTTAAAAAAGACTTGTAAGCAAGCTGGAATAAATGGACAACATTACTTATATGAATCTTTTTTGTAATTATTTGCTGCTTTTTTGATAGCTGAAATAACACTCATGTAATTCAAAAAATTTACATTGATATCGTAACATTGCTGTAACAATTCTAATGAAATAAAAAATCGATTTTCATCTATTACATCATTTACATATTGTAAACCATGATTAAACCAATGTTGGTAAAAAACAGGTTTATTACAAATTCTAATCATATTATTAAACCAAATAGGACTTGATAAAAAATATTCATAGTCCATATTTCTTTCTTTATCAATTATCATTTCCCATGCTCTGAATACATCTTTCCAAAAACTGTTTTTGATATATAAACTAACTTGTTTGATATACTGAACACCACAGTTAAAAAGTTTATTTTTATCAATATCAGACATTAGAATACTTTGCCACTTATTATCTCTCTGAAAAATCCTTCTTATCCATGATGATTTGAGTGCCATAGTAAAACTATAAAGATCTATCATTTTTAATCCTCCCTCCAAATATTCTTTAATCAATACGTCCTTCTTCACTCTATGTATAGGAGAGTTCCATACAAATGTATAAAAAATGTTATTAATTTTTTGGAATACACTGTCTGAAGGATTAGGCAAAGAAATAATAAGGTGGTTTAAAATAGGTAAAACAAGAGTTTTTATCACAGTTATTCTACGTATACCTATTATTGTAAGGTTTCTTTTAGACCACTGTTTTATTATATTCTTAATCTGTATAATTTTATCATTATAGTTGATATTGACAATATTTTCTAAGTCCACATCAAAATTTATACCAAGTAGTTTAAAAGTTGTTTCCCCCCATGAAAGGTTAACATCAGGACATAAAATTTCCTTGCTATACTTTTTACTTCCAAACCAAATTACTTGTGTTTTTGCAAAATTTATATTTAAACCAGATATTTTTGCAAACCAGTCCAATTCAGATAAAGATTCATATAAAGATTTTTCACTACCATCTAAAATCAATGAAGTGTCATCAGCAAACTGTGACAACTTATGCTCAACTTGAGTAACTTCAATACCACAAATTTCCTTATTTCCTCTTATCTTTTGTGCAAGAATCTCAGCACATAGGATGAAAAGATAAGGTGAAAGTGTATCCCCTTGTCGGCAGCCCCGACCTATGTTAAAAAATTCAGAAAGGTTACCGCCTTGTATAACTGCAGACTTTATATTATTATAAAACGCTTTTATCTAGTTGATAATTGATTCCCCAAAATTAAAGAACTTTAAAACATTTAGCAAGAAATCCCAAGAAATTGAATCAAAAGCCTTTTCGAAATCAATTAACAACAAGAACCCAGGTATTTCATGGTCTTCTGTGTATTGCATGATACCATATAAAAGCCTTATATTTTCTCCTATATACCTCCCACTAATAAAACCAGTCTGATCTAAATTAATAAGTTTGTCAAGGACACTCTTAAATCTGTTTGCAATTACTGCTGACCCAATTTTATAGGCAGTGTTTAAAAGTGAAATAGGACGCCAATTTTTCAAAAAATGACGAGGTTTATTTCCTTTTGGAAGACAAGTAATAATTCCTTGCTTTTGTGTTACTGACAATTCTCCCTGTTCTGAACCATAATTTAAAGATTCAACCACAAAAAACTGCAGATCTTTCCAAAAAAATTTGAAAAATTCAGTTGAAAATCCATCAGAGCCAGGAGTTTTATTATTTTTCATATTTTTTAATGCCTGTCCAGCCTCTTTGACTGTGATTCTACCCACCAAGCTCTCCTTCTCATCACTAGAAAGTATTGGAACATTTACATTTTTAAAGGGAAACTCCGCAAAAAAATGAAAAATTGATATTTTGTTCTTTAAGCATAAAAAACAACATGTTCATAAATAAAAAACTTTTATTCTCTATGTAAAGAGATCAAAATCGATTTTTGAAATTCACTATCAGTTCTCGACATATCGCCATCTTGTCGGCATGTTCGATCTAAAAAGTCACGTGATATCTATAAACCACAAAGAACAAAAAGAATCGGGGATTTACCGACCGTGCGTTAAAAACTCCCATCATCAATTGGGGATTACCATAGACGGTTATTCAGTGTCAAAATGTCTTGTCAAGCGTAAGGTTGTTCTGTCAGACAAAGTTATGACAGAAGTCTACATAGTTTTCCCAATCCCACAAAAAAAGAAAGAATTGTATCAGACATGGTTGTACAACCTTAAACTAACAGCAAATAGTTGCATCTATAGCAAGCACAAGTTGGTGTGTGAAGACCATTTTGAACAATATTGTTTCGAGGGAGATTCGATGGTAATTATCCTTTTTTAATAACAAAATAACCTAGCAGTTCTGATAGCTATAGTTATCAAATCCTTATATGATAAGATCTCGTTGAATAAAAAAAAATATAGATTTGATGAGGAATAACAGTTTTAATTATAAGAAAGACAAATGCAGTGTTCTTGTAACAATCACTGATTTACAGAAGATTCATTAGTATGCCTCTTTTATATAAAATGCATTGATTTGTATAAAGAATAGTTCCGTATTTAGACGAGATAATTTTTCAATTAATAAAGTTATACGATATAAAATAACATTTTTTTAATTATGATATTTAACGGCTATTGACAAGTAGCAATGTTAGGAAGAGGTTTTAGCTGGGACATAATATGTTGATATAGTATAATATTCCCAGGTTATAGATATGTAAATATCGAAGTATCGGACATCTCAATTTTTTTTATTAAAAATTTTTTTTTTTAACTAATCTTTAAATTATATCAAATTGATACGGGATCAATTCGGAACGGTCACTTATAAAGACACTTAGCTTTACAGTTAAATGTGTGACTCTATCTGGTATGTTCGGTGAAAAATTTATAGGTATTTTTTCTTTTTAAATTTTATTTACGTTATCTTATTATATATATACTTTGTCTTCCTCCCGAATTGATAATAGGTATGTCAGAATTATTGATAGATGTCGTGTCAGAGCGACACATTCAGTTAGGTATTCCAGGGACGTATATTAGATACACGTCCCTGGGTATTCCAGTGACATCCTGTCAACTAAAAATTCGTATTACACAATTATATAATACAGGTTCATGCATGGCCTCTTTATTGAGGTACCCGGTGTGCACAGGTAACATTTATTGAACCATATATTTGTGTCTAACGTTGTTTATCTTGTGCGTGTATGAAATTATAATTCCACCTTTTAATGAATGATGTTCTGATAATAATATTATCCACTATTTTTGCTGATAATAAGTTTAAAGAAAATTATAAACATGACC